CTCCCACTTCTCCCTGGCTTACAGGGAGAGCCTGACCTCCCCTGGGGTTTTAATTTATTTCTTTTGTGGCTATTATGGTGCTGATATAAAACCCTGGAAAATGCGACAACTATCATTAGGGAGTTTCGAAGGGGGCGTTGGGGGGGGGGGGGGGGAAGAAAAAAGTCCACCCAGCTGTTATTTCATAAATAAATAAAAAGCATTCAGTTGCAAAGGTAACTTACTTTTTTTTTTTGGAAAGATGCAAGATTTTGCCTTGGTACCAATGTCATACCCTTATTCACTTATAAACTCTGTACTGGGACAAAAATAAAAATTACTTTTCCACAGTTTGGGTGGGATTCCTGCTCTCTAGTCTCCTGCTTTGACCTTCACTATCTTCTACTTGCTTCCTTCACCAGCTCAGTTGTTCGTACTGGAAAGGATGTCCGTGGTTTCTATCCCGGGCAAGTAGGACGGGTCCATAAGGAATATTTAACCAGAGGAGCTCTGGGGTAAGCTTGTGCATAGAAGTAACTCCGTAAGACCTGTGGGATAAGCCTTTCTCTTTTATGCCTGTTGTGGGCAATGCTGCAACAATTTCTAATGATTTTTTTGTAACTTTGGCCTAAAAGAGAAACAAGAGAATCCAGGCAGAGTAAACCAAAACTACATCCAAAAGTTTTTGGCAACACCAGGAGTGCTGCATGACCTGAATTTATTATGTATATCAGAATGTAGAATGGAAATTGTTGTAAAAAAGTGCTGGGGTTTTTTTTCCTCCCTCTGAAAATTTGTTGTATTGCACATCAACTTCAAAATATGTTTCATTAAAAAAAAAAATTTAATGTTGTAGGCTATTTCTGCTGGGAACTCAAGGCTTTAAAAATTCTAGTATTAAACTAATGCAGTTAGTTACTCGACTGCAAGAGAACAACCCTTATCATGCTAATTACAAGTCAGATGGAGCCAATCGAACAATACTGAATTATTAAGGTCTTACTGTACATTCTCAGGCTGTTAATATCTATTAGATTACAGCTGCATTATTCTGAGTGCTCATTTCAGCAGGAGATTAGAAAATACATTTACAGTGCTGGCTACCCTTTGGGTGGATCATGGTATTTACATACCGTATGTCAGCATGAGATTACAGAGTGATTTATGCTTTTTGCCTAGACCTTTCAGCAAACTGCAACCAGCTCCAGTAATCTATGAAGCCGAAACTCTATTCCAACCCGACTATGACAATTCAGCTCTCAGGAACTATGTGTATTTTCAACAAATGAAAAGGCCTGCCATCGACTGGTACAGCCAAACCTCATACAGAGCAGCGTTTGACTTGCCATATCACTACACAAGTAAGTAACCCACGCTGGGGTTTCTGCCCAGAGGGGCACAGAAGGTGAACCAGGGAGGTTCGCTCTACTGTAAAGAAACTAGTCTTAAATTGCATAGAGAAAAAAGTGAAAAGTCACCTCACTTTTTCCAAAAAAGAGCTGCCACCTGCCCCCCAAAGCCATACCCTCTCTCCACTACCAACACTCGGGTATCCCACTCCCCTCTGTACTACGCAGATGACAACTGATGAACAAAACCAAGGCAAACTATATGTACTCGTGCAGACTATCTAAAAAGTTACTCAAACACCCCCTAGATAATGCCAGTAGTGTGCATCAAAAGAGCGTTCCTGGATGTATGCACAAATTGGTTCATCACTGGAAAAAAACCTAATATAGCATAAGAAAATACATTGCTTTGATACACTTGATTTAATAGTTTAGTGGAAGTGAAGAACATTAGGATTTAACTCACATTCAACATTAAAAAGGTAACGTTAAGATATATGAATGTGCATTATTGCAAGGTATTTTAAAGATGACATGTCAAATGAGTTGTAACACTCAGACCAACAAAAAATGGTGTAAAATTTTAAGTCTCTGCAAATAATGCATCATCTGTGTGTATGTATGTATACACGGTGTCTGCCTTAAGTAGGTAAAGCTGTCAGACATTAAGTCTGCTTGATTACTATACCACTAGATTTATTAAGTTTCACTGTTCCAGAGACTAGGAACAGAATGGGCATGAGAAAACTCACCAGATCCGAGTTCTCCCTTGTCTTCATCCCCAGCTACTTTGCCTTTGCCTTTTTCTAAACCAGCCAAACCCTTGATTACGTTTCATTAAGGGAGCTGGCTATGACAGCAAAAGGAAACTATAATCTTCTGTTAGAAAGCAGATTTCTAGGATGATGATAGACGAAAGCAGCTGTCATGCATTACATCAACATTATCTGTCTGCCACTTTATCTGAAGGTTTTGTCCATTAGCTACATGCCAAAACCCAATTATAAGTGGAACACAAATGGAAAGGCTAAGAAGAAGTATCCCTCACTTCCCTTCCTATTAGTTAGTAAAGGAGACTTGCTAAACCATAGGGACATAAGGGCTATTAAATGCTGCAGTACAGCTCAAGCCTAGGAGATTCAAACGCATAAATATTTCAGTGGCAGCAAGAATGGCATGAGATCAAAATACCTTGTCTGTCATCAGCCTTGTCAGGTCTAACAGGTATCCCTTGCCTCCTGAAAACATCCTATTAGCAGAAGGGGACACGTGGAGAAGAATCAATTTCACTACTATCCTATGCTGCCATCCTCTCCCCTTACACGCTAGCAACAGAAGAGACTTCACAGAGGAAAGGATTATACAGGAATGGCCTGATAAATACATGCTTGTCATTGAAGTACAAAGGTTTTTCCTTCTGTTGCAGCTTACTGCTACCCTGTGACAGACACACTACCAGTGCCTTCAAACACATGTGACTTTGGCCTCGCTAAACACACTGCCAGTGGCAGAGTGCTAGGATGTTCTCTTCCTCCTCACTGCCACAGCTGTAAGTAGCATGGTTTCAAGAGCAGAGTACACAGCACTTGAAACAATCTCCATAACTTTTAACGTTTGTTTCCACAACATTTGGATTCGTGATAACACCTCCCAGCCCATCTCCCCACACATACAAGTGAGTAGCACTTGGGAAGTGGAGAATTTGATAGAATACAACCATTCTATAAACATTCTTTGACACGGGACAGTGTTTGTGTACCGCTCCAAGAATTCACTCTAGCAAAGCTTATGCAGAACTGGCATTCAGGGACAACGTAATAAGCTTTACAGATGCCAAGTTATCCACCTGAGAGAACAACTCTTCATTCCAGGTCACATGAGTAAATATACACCAGTAGATTCTGGACCATGTATTATCTGGACAAGTACTGGTAGGAGGATGTTTTCAACTTTCCAGGCCTGCACTTGAACAGAAGAATCAAAGAAACTGCATCAGATGAACTTAAAAGAAAGCAAAATAACATAAATCACTCTTGCATCCAAGACAATTCTGGTTTGTTTCTTTAATTGCACAAATAGTTTCTGCTGCTTTAGGCTACAGCTATATTGCTTACAAATCCTGCTGCATCTGGAAATATCAATTCCCCAACTGAAAAACAGGGTAAGTTCGTACAGTGGAGTTACAACAGTGGAAGAACTGAAGCAGGCCTTGAACTTGAAGGTCTCTCCTTGGCAGAAGTGAAACATAACTACATAGTAGGCCCTCATTTATTCACTCACTGCAGAAAGCAAGCATGCCCTCTTTCATTTATTTACTCAGTCCTTGAACCAGCTAGTTCAAGGATCCCTAGTCCTTGGTTGGTAGTTTCACTGACAACACAAATCCACTTAGTACCTCCTACAGCTACAGGAAGACAAGAATGCTTAATAGTTACTACTTATTGTTCACATTGCAAGGTCAATTCCCTCCATTGCCTAGAAAACAGTAATATTGCTTTTTTTTCCGTCTAAAGGAACACTGGGATTTGTTTCACAGTTACATCCCACCTTTATTCATTGGGGAATTAGGAACAGATTTTTATTGGGGATGGCCCTTAGGAAGGGATGGTATGCTGCTCTCCTGGACTGCAAGGCTGACAGCAAAACTAGACCCTCGCCCCCTCCAGGAAAAAATGAGTATGAAATTGTTCCGTTTTTAATGTAGAGGAGAATGACCTTTAAATGCAAAGCTGATACAGAGGTCTCTCAATGCACTTGCCAGTTTTCCAGCATGCTGTGGTATCCTCCTCTTTCCACGTTACACAAAAAAAATACACACCTTGCTAACTGCTCTGCCACAGGCAAACAATACCCTACAAAATGCTCCTTAAATATCACTAGTTTTATCCTTCAACCCTCTTGCTCCTCTCCTTATGATAAACAATATTATTTTATATTAATTGAAAACACAAGCATTGTGCTGAACACCTCAACAGCAGCATCAATCCAACAAATCTATTCCGTTTCAGGCAACAGCTGGTTACTTAAGATATAATCTCAAAGGCCTTGTATCTTTTATTTTGCATTAAAAGTTTTTTTATATTCACCTGCATAGCTGAACGTACTAAAAAAAAAATTCTAAAATCACTGCCCCACCCTGATGCATACATTTTTGTAGAAAACTAAATTTTATTTGAAGTGAAAAGAAAGCACATGGATACCATAGTATAATGTGTAAAAATAAAGTAATTGTTAAAAAATCTGGAAATGGAATATGTAATTATTGGGTTGTTGCCAAAAGAACTCACATTCTTTGGAATATATAATAATGGTTATAAATTAAAATGATTCTAGAACATTTCCCAACACTAATAAGCCAAAATATGTCAGATGTCATGAGGTGAATACTTGTTATTTTCACTACATCTAAAGCAAATACGTTGAATACTTTAAATGTTATTTCTAAAGCTTCTTGAATTTATAATTACAGAAGTGTCTGTGCTTTGCAAGTTCTCCAGAGAAAGATCTTCTATTTGCTATGTAGAAAAGAATTTAAAAGTGCATCAAAATGTTAAGACTTCTTAGCAAATACAAATATAACCTCATTTAATTAGGGAAACAGTTTGAGATATGCGCCTTGGAAACAGAGAAGTGCAGGGGTTTTAAAATCCTAGAAAAAAAATGAGTACCATCATAAAACATTTAACTCAAAATCAGAACAGTTCTTTAATAATCGCAAATGAACTTTTTACAATATCAATTTTCTAACTTTCTGGGCACACTTCCTGGTAACACTTGAGTGTCCTCTGTGAGTTACAAAGAGTAAGTTTTCTGTATTACACGGCTAAAAAAACCTTGACATTCTTAACAACTTGGCATCACATCTTTTTTTAAAAAACAGATCACACAATAATTTAGACAGCATTTATAGCATTATAAAATCAGAACTCCCCTCTTTAATCACTCACAAGAGCAGCCATTAAGAATACAACAGCTTTAGGAATACAAATAATGAAGATGTAAAACTCTGTGCAAAACTGCATTATTTTTACTGTCTAAAATTTCAGGGAAGTAACACCGCCAAAAGCAGAGAGAGGATAACAAAGACAAACAGTCATGAAAGTAATGCTACCTTCGATTTTCAAACAGGAATTACATTATGAAGTAAATATTAGGTAAAGAAAAAAAAATTCGATGGCACCTCGAACAACAATGACAAGTGTCCTGTAAATTGCAGTTGAACAAGAACTGACACAGGTTCATGTTAAAGTCTCTTTCAGGAGTAGCGATTGATTTGGGGGGTATCAACTCTAGCATTTCTTTCCATGCAAAAATCTATCTTTCCAACATCTTTGCTTTGCGGGCTACTAATGCATTTAAGAATGAGCAGTCTTTTGAGGAGTGTGCTTTCTTCCATGCATCTGAAATCTTTAAAACAGCTGGATCATTGATTCCCTGGATTTCCCTACTCCGATCCACTTAACTGCAGGAGAGAAAAGCAAACTTTTATTGTAAGTAATACAACACAAGATCAGATTGCATCTTAAAGTAAGATACAAATTTATCTTAAGTGCTTAAGATCTTAAGTACCATAGTCTGAAGAAAAGCACAGCATATACTATTAGTACATTAAGAAACAATATGTCTATTGTTCTCGAAGTAAGAATGCATTGGTAACTTAGAAAAGCAGGAACAGTCTTGAAGCTTCCATAATAAATAAATCAGTTTTCCTGATAATAGGAAAAAAGATACAAAGAAACTCTCAAGAAAAGTAAAGATTTGCATCATCTCTTAAATCCCAGCTTTGGATGTAACTACAGGATCATCTTAAATAGGGAGCATAAGAGAAATTTATTAGTTTAGGACCTCTTACTGTCACATATATTTAATCACAATATACCAGAAGTCCCACTGACTTTATAAGGGCAGCAGAACTAAACCTTTATTATAAGCAATATGAAAAACACTTAAGCAAATTATAAAAATCTCAGTTGAACGAGACCTATAGTATATGCCAAAGAACGACTGCAAAGTAAAACTTTTGAAGATTTTCAATCCATCAGCTAAATAGATAAATAAAAAGAAATAAAACAATAGTTACATGTATCACCAGGTACATCAGAATGAGCACAGCTACAAAATAGTTTTCAATATTTAGAATGTTCAGTTAAGGCAAAGTACAAGATAGGTTTCCTGGAGCAGGAACAAAACAACAACAAAATCTGTTTTACTTACCAGGAACACCCAACTCCATTTCTATAAAGCGAACGTAATTTTGTGCATTTACAGGCAGCTCGTCGAAAGTCCTTGCGTTTGATATGTCCGTATCCCATCCTGGGAGTGTCTCATACTGAACCTCTACTTTATTTAAGACTTCCTGGTTGGCTGAGAAGCAAACAAGAGCAAAAATATTACATCTACAAAGATTATATATTCTCTACCACTAAATGCATAACAATAACAATTTTATTCTTTTCATACACAAAAAGGTTTACTCATAATACCAGCACCAAAGGCAATCAAGTATCCTTTTTTGTTAATAAAAGCAGAGGATAAAAAATAATTATCCAGTCACTATCAGGACTTAGACTTCAGGAATTCCAATGCTCACAGTCACATGCATATATTTTGCTTAAACTACAATCTTCTTAGTTCAGAAAGCAGATTTGCAGGAAAAGTCATTTCCCAAAATGTTGGTTTATTTTTTTTGCTGAACAAATACCAAGATCCAACTCCCCTTTCATGAGGGAATTTGATGATGGCACCTGAAATTAGGCACCACTTTGTAAGTATCAGGCAGATAAAATATATTCTAAAATGGCATGAGACTACTTTTTACTAAACATAGTTATAAGTTGTAGTTCATACATAATGTACTTCTGATGCCCACAGAACCTTTACCCCAAAACACTACAACAAATTTGTTAACCAGTGTAGAGTCCCACATGATATATGAGCAGTAACTGTTTCAATTACTTCTCAGAAAAGAAGCAATGAGTATATTTCATTTCGTCCATCATTTAGTAAATTGCTACAACGTTGTCCATTAACTCTGAATCCTGTGTTGATTTCAAGTACTGGAAAAGATGCTAAGCACATTGTTCTGGCATTGAATCATTCTAGTAACTATCTGAACATCAGCCTTGGAATGACATTGGGCAGCGAAACAAAAGGCTTCAGCCCGAAAATAGCCAAAATACATTGATTAAAAAAAAAAAAATACAGTGGGAGGTGTCAGGCATTCTTGTCTTCCTGAAAAAGACAGGGTTCTGCCAAGGGCACTGTAATTACCGTTACGTAGGCTCCATGCTTCAGATCAAGTCACTCCCACAAAGATAGCTAGTCAACCTGGGAAAGGGGTTTAGGTACAAATACAAAACCATAGCAAATCCCCCTCCAGCGTGTCATGCAGCCAACACACTCAGGCTCAGCACATTGAATCACTTGTGCTAGCACAACTCAGTTCAACAGTAGCGATGTAAGGACAGCCTTCATGAACCAGGCATTTTGAGTAAGGGTGAAAGAAGACTATGCTCTGCTATATTCAAAGTGTAATAGCACAAACTAATCTCTGGGCATTGCAGATGGTCTAGAATAAGACACTAGCCTCCCTCCTTCTGAGGAGAGAAAGCGAGTGAACACCTAATCTTGGAGGTCCACAGGCATTTTCACTTTGCAACTTCTTTCTTTCATAAACTCTTATGACTGAGCAGAAATCGAGACACTGGTCAGCTCCATAGCAAAAGGCCACAGCTTCAATGATACTAACTGAAGTCTGCTGTAAATTTACAAGACATTTGCAATTCTTTCTTAACAGAAGATTATGAAATGCCCACAGAAATCTAAGCTAAAAAAACTGAGTTGAGATTCATATGATTCTCTGATCCAGCTGGAAAAAGGAACAATATATGAAATATGGCATGTTTTTCCTGAGATTGTGGGCACTGTGTGTGCTCCTAATTTAGAGACAGTCATTTCACAAGAAGGGTAAATCACTAACATCTCCAAGAGAGTGGGAGGGTAGGGAGGGGAGAAAGAAATACCCTGCCAGCAAGAGATTCCCAGACTAGATCTCTTCTAAATTAAATTCAAAATGCAAAAAAGTGGCAAGTTTAAAGAAAAATAACAAATAAATTATACAAGTGCACAACATGCAGAGATGTACAAATCAGAAATAATCTAGTTGTCCAAAAAACACAACGTGGGAAGAAAGTTATCTTTTGTTTTTCGTGTCAGGTGCAGGGGTAATAAGTAACCTGCAGCATATGTGCTGAAAATGCTGCCAAATGTTGAGTATAGCAAAGAAAGAGGCGTGGAACAGAGAGGCACTGTGAGAGACAGCATCTTCCAGCTACCAGAAGTTCAGCTCAAACTCCTTCCTGACACTTAAGACAGCACATCAACAGCAAAAACAACAGCTTCTACTAAATTTCTACCAGAATTCTTAAGTGTTCATACAGTAAAGAAAATGGGCAGGTGAGCCACATTGTGCTGCTCTGACCAAAGGTCAGCTACCTGTTATCTGGGCACATACAGGGAAGAAAATCTGTCCTCAGGAGATGTAACAAGATTCAGGTCCCATTTGAGAGACACAGTAAATGGGGCAGGGAAGAAGTAATCACTGAAGTCTTAGTACTGGAAAACATGGCTACCTATTTATGTCATCTTTAATGATGGACTGCCAGAAAAGGTCCTCCTGGCTTGAGCACATTGACAGTCCAAATAGACCCCAGGGCTACAGATGAAGCAATAACTGAGCAGTTCTCAATTCAAATGTGCAATGTCAATTATGTTCAAAGGCCATCTAAAGTACACACAAATTTCCTTAATATTTTGATAACAGTATCGATCAGGGGATATCTGAGTTTTAAATAGGGAAAAGCATTCCCTGGTTTAGGGCAAGATAAGTACTGGATTTCCTGAAAAAAGCACATGCCACATCATTCAGTATGCATTCAGACTGTAACTGTCACTTTTGTTTGAAAATACTGAAGGGCAAATCAGCTAGAGAACTCCACAAGGCCCAAGGAGAAATAGAAGATTTTTTGTTAATTCCTTATGAATTTCCCCAACAGATATGTGCTATTTTCAAGAACTACTGACAGACCATCACTTAATCATTTACACATAATTACCTCTTTATACTACATAAATCCTACTGTGAGTTATATCTGATTACTAGAGTTGACTTCCTCACCCACAAAAAGTTCTCTGCTGATGATATCATATGAAAAATTGTAACCCGTGACCAGGCTGAAACCCTGAGGTAGCAATTGCAACGGAAACAGGCATCTATGTGCACATTAGAAAATGAGAAAGCACAATCTTTAGTACTGGTTCATGTTCTTTTTCTGAGTATCTCCACTATAGCAAACTGAAAAAAGATGTATTATCCATGAAAACTGTTGCTTTATGATATTTGAATAATTTAACAAGCAGATACAATTTTCAGGTAAAAATGATCACCGGAATGACCACTGTCCTCTTCAGGAGCCACATGCTAAGCTGATGTATGTTGGTCCGGTATTAGAAAATAGTGCTGCTTTCCCCTAAACTAATTGCTCATTTCCTCCCCCACCTCTTTTCCCTTTTTTCCCATTGCGTAGGTGTGACAGTGTTTTGGCTGCTCTGTGAACCATTAAAGGGAACCGAACTGTTAGAAAAATAACAAAACCTGGCTTTTCAACCGGATCATTTCTCTCATGTGGTTCACCACATGCTTGAGTGAAGACTTGTCTTACTAGAAGAGGGGATGAATACAGCAGTGGGAATAACACACTGGGCTTAAAGTATGAAACGAGCTTTCAATTTAGCTTGAAGTTAGTGCAGACTGTATTAAAGGAAAAGGATAAAGCAGTAACAACGTTTACATTTAAGAAGCTTTATATAGAACTCTGCATCTTTCTAGTAGACACACAACAGTATTTGGTATAGGTGTCTTTAGGGGGCAGGTACAGGGTGTCTCTGGTGCATCTGGGAAGATATTAATGGTTTGATGCTGAAGTAACACATTCCTATCATAAATTTTACTTAAAGGCATTTGACTTTTACTTGCATCAGATTACATTTCACTGAAATCTAAAATTGTTAAACAAGCAGTCTTACCAGGAAAATGAGGTATGATTTCACCATCTAGTTTGTATGCAACACCAACTTTGATTTCTGCAAATACATCCAAGATATCCAATTTGGTAAGTGCCAATCTATAAAGAAATAGTACTCCAGTTAAACAGGTTCAACAACTCTCAACTCTAATCCCATTGTAAAAATACCAAAAGAAAAATTGACTCCTGCACATTGTGATTAATTGTCTTCCCTTAGAAAAACAGCTCGTATGGCACTTAACTATTTATCTGCTGTAACTCAAAAAAAAACTCCCACAAAAAAACAACTTAAGCAGCCTTTTTGTTGCATCCTTAGATCTGGTACTATGAGAAAATGGCAAAATTCAAAGAACAGGTATTCTTCAATTAAAGTGACTGGTCTATAGCTTTAAGTGTGAGAATTTTAGTTGGTCAGGGTGCTGCCAAGATACTTTATGACCATTCATTTGAGATGGCTTCATAGCATGATGCCTGTTGCTGTCTGTTCCTGTCCTCTGCCAAATGTTCCCTTCCTACAGTGAAGGCATCAAAATAATCAAACACTGCCTCTGTAAATACCTGGCTATATCCTATTTTAAATAAAATACACAAAGGACAAGGAAAACAGAAAAATTTAAGTATGCATTACAGTTTGATCTAGAAATTTTATGCCAGTTTTGTTTCAGAAAACTATTTTTCATTTTAATTGAAAACCCAAAGTCATATCATAGAATCATAGAATGGTTTGGGTTGGAAGGGACGTTAAAGATCATCTAGTTCCAACCCCCCTGCCCTGGGCAGGGACACCTCTCACCAGAGCAGGTTGCTCAAAGCCCCATCCAGCCTGGCCTTGAACGCTTCCAGGGATGGGGCATCCACAGCTTCCCTGGGCAACCTGTTCCAGTGCCTCACCACCCTCACAGGAAAGACTTTCTTTCTAATATCTAATCTAAATCTCTCCTCTATATATATCCAATTTTTCTACATTTACACATACTGCGGATTATATTGATGGTTTCCTGTTATTATTACATATTAATATATTATATAATTATATATTATATTAATAATATATTATATTATTATAATATTATTATATTCCCATCTCTTATTTTGAAAAGAAACTGACAAAACCAAACCCCACAAACTATAGCAGGTTTTAAGGCCCTTGTAATGCATTTGATTTGGTTTGGGTTTGGTGGCATGGCAGCGGTTAGGGTAGCTTGAAGTATCAACTAGTAAGATACATGTGTGCTTTTTGGATCATTTTAATTATCTATATGCTATGAGTAAGGGAAAGACAAATTTACAAGTATGGAAACCTAAAACAAAAACATTTAATGCTAGGAAATATGAGGGATAGTTCATCCATCAAAATAATCAACAAATCAATACTAACAGTCCAAATATTACTAATTAGTATATGTAAAATTTGCAGTAATCTGTAGCATTTCATGATTTTATTTTCAGTTGTCAGCAAAGCTGTCAAGATAACTCACGCAGTAAATCCATTAATCATGTAGGCATATCGGAGTAACACAAGGTCCAGCCAGCCACATCTTCTCTTTCTACCAGTGGTAACACCAAACTCTTTACCTCTCATTTGCAGCAATTCTCCAATTTCCTAACAAAGAACAATACTATTACATGATCCCTTTTTTTTAAAAAAAAAATTGCAATACATCATGCAACATGTAAACTTAACATTTTATGATACTGTACATTACCTTAAAAGTTCTTCCCCCAATTTTTCACAAAGTTGCCCATTGGTACGAAATTAAAATACAAAATGCTATTTCTAATTCAAGAGAATGCTATTTGAGCAAATATCTTGAAATGTGTTCCTGCTCTAGCCTTTTATTCCATAGGAAGGTCTGAGAAACTGACACTCAGATTTGTCAGTCCTGTAAGCTCAGTCTAGAATCAGTAGAAGGAGATATCCAAGCACACTGTTGTCTACTTGCATTTAACTGGTAACACTGTTTTAACGCAAGACAGACACACCAAGTTAGGTCACCCAGTTACAGGTCACACCTAGGGCTGATCATACTCACATTATCTTGCTCTGTAGGAAAGGCACCGATGCCAACTCTGGTTGTATATGCTTTCACCACTCCGTACACTTCCCCGACGTTCTGCGGAGGCATGCCCAGCCCTGTACACACACCTCCAACTGTGCAGTTTGATGAAGTCACAAAAGGGTATGTGCCTATCAAAAAAAAAAATTAAAAACTTTTTTTTTTAATAGTTTAAAACCAGTGTTTCAGTAAGTCTAACCTGGTAAGAAATAGTCCTTGTACTATACTTACCTAGGTTTCACAACACTAAAAAAAACCACACCAGAATAAATGTATTTTTGCGGTCAAGAACATATTTAACGAGCTCTTAGCTGTATATGTACAGTGTCTGATCCTTCTTTATTGAAAAAGGTAGAAATCTGAACACTTTAACTGGTACAGAGGCAAAAGTAGACTACATAACTCTGAATGATCATACAAGTTAAAAATTGCAGTAAGACACCAGAAATCCATGCCCTGCTATCTTATATAAAATATACTCACTAATAGAACAATGTGAAAATTTGAAGGAAGACTCTTAAGAAAATGGTATTAAAAGGTTAGAAAATACAGGTTTACCATTTTTCATTTTGTGTCTCAAAAAGGTTGTACCTACCAAAATCTATGTCCAGCAGTGCTGCGTTTGCACCTTCTACTAGGATCTTCTTTGGTGGTCCATGTAAAGCCTCATACATGAAATATACACCATCCCTTACCATTGGTTTTACTTTTTCCACACAGCCCTGTATAATACAAAAGACTAATGTATAGTACAATTTCATTATAACAAAGCTAGCCAGAGTACAAGTGCTATTGCTTTCTCATAACAATGCTCATATTCCTCTTGAAAAGGAAAAGCAAACAAAGAAATGCTAAACATGACATAATGTGTAAACAAGAGAAGGGAGAACAGTAGTATCAGATTTACACAATAGATATGTATGCTCTTCCTAGGAAGAAAGAAAGAAAAGGGGGAGAAAAGAAATAAAATCCAAACTTTTGAAATGCTTTAGAAATATTCACACCTGAGTGTAATCACAATACTTTACTGCATTTGGTATTTCATTTCCAAGTGTTCAAAGTTTCTCCCCCAAAACCAGCATGTGGGGAGTTCCACTTCTGGCTATCTGAAGTCAACAAATGCACAAAATTGTAAAGCAGCAGTAATTGTGATATATATATACACACAGGTATGTTTGTAAGTGTAAGTAAAAAGTTATTTATTGGACTTCAGGGTCAGTTGCCTGAATGCAACTGGGTATCTGGACATAAGAAGCCAGCAATGTTCACATTAATACTTGCTACACAGGTTTTATTCCCCATGAGAACATACAGAAGTTCTCATTCTATTGATTCACTTCACATGAAATAGAATTTCTTCTCTTTCAGAATTTAATCAAGTGCATTAAAACAAAGATCAAGTGCAAGCAATTTTCCTCAAGCTACAAATACATCTTATGTTTCCACCATAACAATGGGTTTCAGATATTCTGTAATTCTAATGTGCATTAAGTAAACTATAAAGCATTATAAAACACTCAACTGAAATTGATTTTTAGGTCTACTTATTGATAAAAAAAACTACAACTCTACACGTATAATACATACTATTAAAAATAAGACAAACAGAAGTACTAAGGACTCCCATATACTCAATTCCAGTGCTTGCAACCTGAGTTTAATAGCAACTGAGGTACAAGATTCTCTTTGGCATGAAAAAATTAAATATGTAACTGTGCACCCCCTGCCCTGTTCCACACATACCTCAATGGTTTTAAACAATTTGCCAAATTTGGTTGAAGTTTTCTAAGGGTAAAAAACCACTCATATAGTTCTTATAAATATAGTTTTATAAAATGCATGAACAAAAAGGCTGGGTAAGGGTAAGGCACCTGATAATTTTTTCTCAAATAAGAACTTGGGTGCACTGCAAAAATTGCACTACTAGGCATAAGAGAATTGATTCTAGTAAGAAATCTCACAACTGTCTCAACTGTAGGGAAAACATCAAATCAGAATTCATAATTAACCACAAGACTAGTCTGCTGGCAATTAGGCTTCAGTAGTTCTGCTGCTATCAACTTACATTCTTCTGTGTTGTTAGACACAGTTTTTTTTATCCTTAAGGCTTACTACTTAAAATAATAATTTATTTCAGTTCTTAAGTTTCTGACATAAGGAATTACTATTCTGCTTTACAATGAAACATACCTTCCCCGACTACAATCTTGGGTATTTTTCTCCTAGCCAATATGTTTAAGCAAGTGGAAGTCAAAAATAATTTCTCTCTTTACAAGCCTTTTTCTTCAAGTTTACAATATTTCTCTTGCAACCAAGTTTTGAAATACTGCATAAAGCAGGGTCAAAAGCGTCTTTAAGGATGCTACCAGACTCTTTAAAATTCATACATACCAATTTCTCATGATACGTATTATGTTTTAACTCCTCACACAAGCGTAAGTGTCAGTCACTAAGAGATTTACATATGGGTAACTGCACACAGTGATTATATGATTTAACAGAGAAACAGGCTTACCTTGAGCTTTTTCAATTCCCCTTCAATATCTATCTCTAAGGTAGGGTATATCGCTTTGTACTGATTGGCTAACACTTTGAACCTGGAAGGCAAAAATGCTTCACTAAGGGATTTGTTTGTTTTCTTCCTCATGCCCCCACCAACCTTAGGTTTTACTGGATACATTATCTCCAATTATTTGGTGATTAAACAATTTCAAACAATAAAATGTTTTAATAATTATAAATATATAATTTAACAACATTATAAAGAAAATTATTTTCATATCTAAAAATACATTTTAATTTAAAAAGTAACACCAACCAGATGTAATTGCTTACACAGGGTACTACCCAGAAACTGAAAACTATACTTACAACTGTGCATTAAAACACAGAAATTACCTCTCAGAAAATTCATCGAAGTCAGAAACTAGATCACACATTCTGAGTCCACTTCGAGCTGCTTTTGAAGAATATACTGGACCAATTCCTTTCTTGGTAGTTCCCAAACTTTCAAAAGATAATAACAAGAATTATTCTTGATATTCAACCAAAGTGTTTTTTCTTTAAAGCCAATACATCCTTAGCATAAAATGAAATGCTGTTAGTTGTGAGGATTTAGAATCTTGTTTTAAGCATTTAAAAACTCAAGATACTTTAGGATGCAACTTTGTTTCAGAATATCACTATTTATAGACATCAACATATTAATCTTCTACATAGTTCTGGTTTTAAACCGGTAACTTTTCATGCTTTAGTGAACTCTTACATATTTATTTGAACAGAATTCCCAATTCTTACACTTGGGAAACTGAATGCCAAGACAACATCCTTCAGTACTATGAACTGAAATAATCAAACACCTTCCTAAAAAACCGTCCTGAAGACCTGAAGTCAGTCCTCCATAAAGCAACAGCATAAACACTATGGATTTCAAGGTTGTATGTAAGAAATATTTCATTTCATTCTAAATGCCTCAGTTGGAGCCAGGAAAACAGAAACCAGTGCCAGGCACCTAAGAGTGACAACAATACTCAAAATGCTGTAAGTTAGAAAGGGTTCAGTATTAGATTTTCCACTGCAGCCGTTTCTGAAAACCTGAATTCTTTTTCTTACCCTTACCTACCTGCTTCACCTGAAAAGACTTTTCCAGCTTGAGTCAATGACATCGTAAGACACAACTTACTTGCACTGACTTTACTGTCAGAGAGCTAAGTTTCCAGAACACTGTATTTACAGAAGTTAAAACAATTGTATAAGCATAATATACTCTATTAGATTAACTTTTCTATAACCTTTCTGCCATGGAAGCTACACAAGCCTTACTTGTGACTGGTTTTGAGCTACATTTGGGCAGATAAAATCATTCAGTTAAAATAAAAAAATAAACTTACTATTTATCATGATCAACTTTAACGTGTTAGACACAAAAGAATTTAAATACCAAATGTGCTATGCAGTCAAACCTACAGTTAGACATGCTAGCAGGCTACTTCTATATATATAAAGCAAATTAGGAACTAGGAATGTTTTCCTAAGGCAAAATATTAAGACTACAACCCTTTCACTAAGAATATAATCTTTTGCTAGCCACTGGAGAATAAAAATAATCCCTGCATACTCCACATCGAAAAGTTACAAGGATAATTAATACTTTTTAAAACTCAATGACAAACAATAACAGAAGTCCAATGTATTAAGCCAAATGTTTGTACAAAGTCATCCTATGTTTGACAAAATAGAACTACATACTTCTTTCCTGCTTGTTCTTGCCTCTGTTGTTCTTGGATGCCATCTGCAGCTTGGTGGAAATCAAATACTAAGAAAATAAAAATAGGTTGAGTAGAAAATTTCTGTGAAACAAACTACCATATTGGTAACAATTTCTTCACACTATCTCTCACCCTGTTTATCAACGTGGAAAATAAAAATATACACAGTGAAGAGAGGTAAATAAAATGACAAGAGCGTTGGTTTTTTTTCCTCCAGTGAAGAGAGGTAAATAAAATGACAAGAGGGTTGGTTTTTTTTCCTCTTTTTTTTTTTTTACAAATTACATTTTTTTCACAGGGAAAAGTTCTGGGTTTTTTCAGAGTTTTTTTTTTGGAAGGGTTTCTTTTGTAGAACACTTGCAGACTGTGTATACACTGCCCACAGAATAACTACTAAGCCGTTTCAGCTTTGTAGTGGCCCAAAATAATAGACAATAAACAAAGAAAACACATAGTTGAAAGAAATCCTGGAAAACAGGTTATAGTCAAAAACATCCCACTGCTGAAATTTAAGGTGAGAGCTTTAAATGAACATTCTAAATATCTCTTAAACCATTTTATTTTTATATTTTAGATAACATACATTAAAATGCATTTGGAAATGCAGAAGCTCTCACCAACATCTGTTATGTAAACAGAAGTCATCTTCACAAGCCCTGCTTTTTTTAAAGCATTACATATTATTAATGACAAAGATTATGCAAGGTATTCCATGCACCAATTCTTTGTCTACCGTAACAGAAAAAAAATATTAAAAAAAAAATCTGACAAGACTCATGTCAAATACAGTTTGCAGGTTAACAGAACCATCTTATTTTTCTTAAGTACTATCTCCCGACAGTTAAACTACTAATCTACACATTACACAGGAAATGCAGGAAAACTTACAAGAAACAGATTCATTTCACAAGTGCTCTAGTCTCTCTAGAGCAAGAGTTTGTTTTCCTTGTTTGTATTACCAATTTATTTTTGTATTCGTTTCCACACATCCCTGTAATTTAGAGGACTAAATTATCCCCAGCAGCCTGAACCTATTTTTGGTTGATCTTTTGTTACAGACTAATGATTCACAGATTGTCAATACCCATTTTAGAGAAGGCATATTTATCATGGCAACAGATCTCTAGACTGTCATCAAAACTTTCCAAACAAAGTTCATTTACGTTAAGAGGTTGAGTCATAAGTCAGTCAATAAAAAGGACCAGTCAATAACTGGTCCTTTTTACTCAGGATCTGTTTAGCTATGACAACCTCACAGTATTACCACTACAATATAATCATCGCAAAACAGTTTTTCTAATAATCTAGTAATTTCCAAGTAATTCACCTACAGTGATTCTACTCTCAGACAACATTTTAGTAACAGAGGAACAGTTACTTAACTATTTTGAAGTCAGCAGATACTCCAAAGTAAAAATGTATTTATTCTGAAACAACATATTCACTCACTCAGCTATTCCAGATCAGTTAAAAAAGAAAAAGCACAAAACCTTTTTTCTGGTGTAATAAGTTTTTATCTGATAAAGACCTAAAAAGTTTGCATCATCCGAAGATGACTACAAGAGCAGCAATAAGCTCATTTCCTAATACATGCACTTATGTAACTATTATATTACAATATCTAAAGATCTACTTTTAAGGGATGAATTTATGTAATAAAGATGTTGTAGCAGTAATACAGGAAGAGCCTCTGAAGCTCTGTGTTGGTGGTTTCACCTCTAAACACTGTTTTACTCCAGGCTCTGAACTGCAGAGCTGTCTGGAACACAAGCTGGAATCAACGCCAGACTGACGAGCTCCCTGCAAGGAGAGCAGCCATTCTCCCCATCCCTGTGGAGTCCTTCCCATACAGACTCCTTTCGGAAGTACGTGGCAATTTACTTGGTAGGAAGCCCATGAGTTTGGGAGTCACGCCCAGCCACGTGGTTTCCCAGCAGAAAAGTTGCTACACGCAACTCTGCTTTTACACCCAATGGGGAAATGAATCCTTCAGTCAATTAACTTCTGAACTGCTTTTTGACTACTTTGCACCTCTAATGTTTGGCTTGGAAAGTGAACCTGCTATCCTGACTAGGTTGTGCTTATGGAATAGAATTCAAGAGTCACTAGAATATAATCCTGGAAGGGTTCCAAGTGGTGAATGATTTTTTTCTAGGATCTTCAATAAACCAAAGCAGCATACAGAGACTTAATCCAAAGAAAAATACATACCTACATAAAGAGATAGCAAAAATTTTCACACTTATACTGCCATGGAAAGGTCAGAGAAAACAAAGATTAACAAAAAAACAATCAACAAAAAAAACACACCACAAACAGGAACTTACCAATATGAGCCCTGTCAGAAATTATTAGTCTTTTTTCCCAGCCTTCTAGCCCTTAAAAGACAAAATGAAATAGTTCAAATTATGTTTTGTGTAGCATTGTTGTCTTCTGATGTATAAAAGATAAACACTTTCCATGTTTAGTCTTCAGTCAATCTATTTAAAGACTAAACAATCACATTCCAGGGAAAAAAAAGGAAGATTTCAATAATTAAAACTTGGCATCAGTCTATAAAGCTGAGACAGTCAGGCCTATTCTGAGGAAGAATTCTAGCTATTTTATTAGTTCTTCAATTTCAGCAACCAATTAGTGGCTTTTTGTTTTTTAACAATCTAGACCATTGATTTACCTCACTTAACAGCACACTGCTGCCAAGCATGGCTATAGACATAACAGAAAGTATCCAAAAACTGAGTTCTGAATCAAGAAGTGATTACCACAGCATTTGTTTACATTAACACATATCAAACTGTACACTAATATTGTAAGAGATAAAACGACTATGAACAGGTAACAACACACTTTAATAAGTTTTCTTAAATTCATTGCCTTAAGCAAATAAAAATGGACAATAATTCATATTTAGAACCTGTTCTCTCCAAAAACTGGACATTGATTCCTTTTGTCTGCCTTCCCATGAGGGCCCTGGGACTTCAAGGAAGACTCCTGTCAGAAACTCCAGCAGCTAAACAGAGTTCTGGAAAAACACGTTGTACGTAACCTCTGCAGAGGCATCCTCTATCTAAATCTTTTGCGGAGAACCCCACAAACTATTTTGAGAGTAGTATCTTAAAATTTTCTCACCTTTTCCTTTCTTTAAGTTTTTTTCAGCTTCTTCAAAGAGGCCTGGCAAATGAATTACAACACCATTTCCTGAAGAAAACCATTACACAAAAATTAATTATGTTTGAGCAGGGAAAAAAATACTCCAAACAATTCAAAGATACTTCAAGTTTTGCATGCAGAGTATTTTATTTAAGGTTTTAAACTTTCAAAACATTGCAGTTTTTATTCTTAGGAATTTGTCTGTAAAAGACTGATTTACAGCTAAAGTATGCATTTCTAACTATATGCGCTTAATGTTTTCAATAAGCTCAACAAACTTTCCATTTAGATCAGGACAAACAGTAACAGCATCGTGGGACAGTCTAGAATGCAACTTCCTCTTCCTCATATCTAAAATTAACTTCCCTCTCTGTACTTCATTTTAATAACCCTATTGTTTTTTAAAAGCTTAGCACTTTTCTATCATCATTATAAACATTAGCATCCCCTTCAGGCACTCTTCTGCTGTAAACAGACACAAAATATTCCATATATAGAGTTGAGGTTGTTTACAGACTAGCAAAAATAACACAGGGAAAAGCTCTATCAGAAGCAAGCTGGCTTTCCTACAGCTGTCATATTGATCAGAAGATGACTAGCTCATACAATTAACAGCATCGCTGAGTATCAAGAAAGAGCATTTTCCATATAGCAAAACCAAACATCTTAAGGTCATACTAAACTTAGTTAGTAGATCATTACATCCAAAGCTACCAGTATGAGAACACCTAGCTAAAGAATGAAGGGACATGCCAATCAATAGTAACAATCTATTATAATGATCCAGTTACTTTGCCCTTGCCCTTTTTTTTTTTAACCTATAAGCCAGATATTTTTTTTTTTCTAAAAGAGATCTTAAACACAAGGCAAACAGCCCTAGTGTCAGCCAGGATAGAGTTAATTTTCTTCCTAGTAGCTGCTATGTTTTGGATTTAGTATGAGAGTAATGTTGATAACACAGATTGTTTTAGTTGTTGCTAAGTAATGTATATATTAAGTCAAGGACTTTTTCAGCTTCCCATAGGAGCTGAGAGGGAGCATAGGCAGGATAAGCTGGCCAAAGGAATATTCCATACCATACATGTCATGCTTAGTATATATAAATGGGGGTTCTGCAATCACCGCTCAGGAGAGGCTTGGCAATCACTCATCGGCTGGTGAGCAACTGTATCGCATCACTCTCTTTGTATATTCTTTTACTATTATCTTCTCTTCCATTACTCTTCTATTAAGCTGTCTTTATCTCAACCTACAAGGTTTGGCTTTTTTCCCTTTTTCTCCCTCATCTCACCTACCAGCAGCTGGGTGGTAGTGAGTGAATGGCTGCATGGTCCTAGCTGCTGGCTGGGGTTAAACCACGATGCTAGAAGAACAAACTTTAGCTTTGAGACAAGACCAAGAGATAGCAGATACAGACAAGAGGATTTGTAAAAAGCTCTCTCCTACCTACTATGCTTCTAAAGGATGTGGTCTTTCCTACTCAACCCTGATTCTATCAAACAAAACATGACAAATGAGCATGTTTTCAAGCAACAACCTTTTAAAGAAACACAATACAGTAACACATCAGAAGAGCATAAAAGTAGTATCATCTGCCACAGCCTTCAAGACTAGAAGCGGTTAACATCCCAACCTTGCCTGCATCAGAGGGAATCTATTTCCATGTCCATTGGCTCAATTTCTGTAGAAGAAGGGCAAGTTGATCTGAAACTATCCCACTATCAAGTCACAATATAACAGCCAAAAAAAGGCTATTAACCACCAATTACCATGAAGTTAAGAGTTAATGCTGACCTTGAGTATACAGTCACTACAAGCTGGACCCAAGAATTCAGCAAATACTGTTTATGAATCAAGTAACTAGCGGCAGAGGCTCTCCAGTTGCTATGCTGTTTAGCAAACTGTCAATGCTCACTTACTCTTGGCACGTACAGCCTCAAAGCAGGAAGAAGATAGGAAGGGCACAGCAATATAGTCCTGATTGGGAGAAGTACACTGTGTAAGGGACAGGAGCTATGGGTATTGAAAAAGCAGGATGAAAGTGTGGATAGGTCATAGCCTTTAGTGACCCAGAGACTCACCTGGTTTGTGAAACAGCACACAAGCACATGCATAGTTATAGCACTGTGTTTTATATTTACCTCCATTTTGAGAAGGAAATTTTAAGGGCTACACAGATTTATTAAGTAGGTTGGTCACACATGAAATCCAAAATTAAAAAAAAAAATCATGTAGGATTGGAAACAGGATTCCATGATAGGGAGGGATAAGTAAACTTGTAGGGACAACAGACAGGATGATCTAAACCCCCTTTCAGGAAGCAAACAGATCATAGATCCTGACATCACATAGTACTGCCACTGCCCTAAACCTTCTAACATATTCTCCTGAGAGGACTTCTTGGTAAGAACAATATAGTATAGTGCAGAATTCTTTCTGGAGTCAGCATTTCACAATCCAACAGAAAAGGGAGAAAGGATCTATGTTTCAAAAGGTACTGGTAGTTAGTTAGCAGGGCTGAAGATTAAAACAGAGAGGAGGAATTCTGAGAATAAAATAAATAATTGGTAGAAAAAAAAAAAGAGGGAATGGGAGAATGAAGACACAGTGGGCAGCTAGCTGTTTGCCTAGATAGGACAGATAAAAACAAAGATGAACTATCCATGACAGTAACAGACACCTCTGTAATCCAAACTTCACAATTGAGCTAAGATAACGTTAACAACATGGTAGCACAGTTCAGGCCTATGAGAATCCGACAGAAAAATCTGATCCTGTATGTTCTTAGATATAATTTTTTATTTAATATGTCAGAAGTCTGTAACTACAGTAGTGTCTATTTTCTAGAGAGACGTCCCACTTACCAATGAATGCAGTGACTTTTGGATTGATGATCCCACTTGGCAGAAGATGAAAGTCATACTCCACAGAATCCACAACAACTGTATGTCCTGCATTATTGCCTCCCTAGGGGAAGAGGGGGGGAAAAAAGAAAAGCATTAATAGTTTTTGAAACTAAAGACAAATGAACACACAGTATAGAGATTAAATAAACCAATGACAGCTCAAATTCTGCAGCTTGCATTTCTGTTACTGACAAAAGTATGTTTCAAAGACCTCCCAGGAAATCAGACGAATTTGTTTTATCAAACTCCACAATTTCAACAGCAGTATTATCTGTCATATAGACTTTGGACAGTATTTTGGTTCACTAAAGGCACAAGAACTTGGAATAACACTAAAATGTTTCTAAAAATTATTGGACAGAAGCGTAAGTTTTCTACAACATGCAAATATTTCTAAAAGCCATCACCAGTTTTACCAGGTTCCTATTACAGTTATGGAGTATAAGTATTAAAAATAGAACCACAACCTTTGCAAAGAAAAGAAAAATCATCAGTAAAACTCAGTATATAAAACTGTATAGATATTGGGAAAGACAAGTCTCTCTTGAGTGTTTTTCTATTAACAGTAACCTGCAAAGTTAACTTTGCCATTCTATACATCCTCAGTGACAAGAGAGTTCTGTAATAGTACAAGTCATTTATATCTGAAACATGCTGTTAAGGGGTGAATCTAGAGGCAACTAAGACGATTGTGGTTTTGCAATTTACAGGAAACCATTTACATCAAACTAAACACTTCTAGCTTTTTTTATTACCACAAAGAGTATTAAAAGATTTGTTAGACTGAAATACATCTAAAATACAAAAAGAAGCCTGTGACCAAGCCTTAAAGAGGGTCAAGACAGGCTTATGAAACTAAAAAGCTTACAAAATAGTTACCAAATATCCCTGGTTCTTGTTTGTTGTACTTTTGAAAATAAGCTTACACTCTCCTGTGACTGAGTCATTTGTGCAAGACAAGGGTGCACACAAAATGGTTCCATTCGTCATAACTAGGGGAACATCCTTGAGAGGCACCTTGCACCAGAAATAAACAAACTGATTCACAGAAGGACAGTGTTAAAGGAAAGACTTTTAATCTAAGCCTTCTTTCAGCACAAGACAAACTGAAGAAAGGCATTATAGGAAAAGAAGAAAAAAAGAAATTATATGAGATATTACCCTATGGAATTATAAATCTGAAATATTTCAGATAACTGTATCACGAAGTCTTTTTTAAGCAATGGACTCAATAGCTACTTGCTACTTACACAACATTACAAAGCATGAATGCAATACATAAAGCCGTATCTCTGACATAACAAAGAATATTCTCAGAAAAGCCTGTGAAGCTAGCAAAGAAAATTCGCATAATTTCAGTATTATTTGAGGACTTAAATTGGACTAACCCATAAGCAACGCTAAGATTAGTGCATGACTGTTCATTTGAAATCCCCTACTATCTGGATGATTTTACTTCATATTTTGCTTCTCAATTTATTTTTTAAAAGATATGTTTTTCCAGCAACATGAACGTCAAATAAAGAGAAAGAAAAATCTGTGATTGTAGAAATTAGATCATGATTAACAGTAAATTATATGTGATAAATTGCCATCTGAACACACTTAGGCCAAACTGACTGAAATTACAGAAAAAAATTGGTTTTGTTTTACCTCAAACCAGGACACATACTAATACCTCAAGGTTTCCAAATACTTATTTTCGGATTAGACTCAAATCTGAACCTTAGAATTTAGTTGTTTATAATATTATGATGCCATGAAAAGATCCAATCCCGGAAGTGCTATTGATAGCAGCCGTCTGGTAGAATGTTAAGTCAGTCCTCATCCTGCTTTCAATGTCATTGACACAACACATCATTTTGAAAAATATTTTTAGTTTCAAACCATATTTTAGGAGATTATTAAAACAACAGCATTTCATTAATTCAGTTCTCAAAATCCTGCTGTTGATTTACAGGTAAACTATCCTACCTGTAGAAGTTCAAGTGTATAATTACACAGTTAGGAAGAGTAGTATATTAAGAGAATGGTTCACACTGTACACTTACAGTGAACTAGCAGTAAAGTGTACACATGTTGTGTGCTAAGATGTTGCACAACACAGGTTTGGTAAACAATACTTATTACAAAAACCTGAACTCAGAGTTCTAGTGGTGGTGTGGTGGAGGGGCGGGTTGTTGTTAAGTTGTAGGGCTTGGGTTTGGTTTAATCTTTTTTTTTTTTGCCCCCTTCAGAAACTGATGATAATGCCAACATCTTTGTAATGTAAGCAAGTACTGACTCTGTGCATAATTCAAGGCACAAGCTGATGAAGTCACTCCTGGCTTCAGTGCTTTCCATCTGGACTTCTCGCTCCTTCTCCCTCATCACACTAAACCAAATGGGATAAGTTATGTCACTCAAGCTAACACTCCTTTGATTCAAATATTCAAACATTATTAATGGAGAACTAACTGTGGAATTTCTTTTCACTATTAGTTAAACAATGTTCATGCTCAAGTGGTCTTCAATACATTCTATAAATCTTTGGCCAGGGGGAAATTAAGATATACAAGTCATTTCTTGAGGCTGGCAATACTTCCTAGTTAACTAAATATAGTAAGCAGTCTACCATATCTCTGTAACCTTCTAGGTACTCAAACTTACAGGAGTTATCTCCTTGCCACATGAAAACTGAAATGCCTACTTTGGGCCAACACAGACAGGCCAAGTGCGTGGCAAGACCAAAAGATGCTCTTGCTCAGCCTGGAAAACACTACATGCATGTAGCCATGGCTCCTTTTCCAGTTCTCCCTGCACAACAGCAAGATTTCCTTCAGCTGAGCCAAGAAGTGTGTCACGGCCAACACACTCATGCATTAGGACAAGGCAACTCTGGATTCAGCTACAAATAGATGGGTGTTTGTAGGACTGACATGAGAGGTACAAGGCAGCAACGGTGGCACACTGAACAACAAACTTCTTCACTAGGATGCTTTCTTCTCATTCTGCAGAACAGTAGCAGAGCAAACCCCTCTGGAAGTCAGAATACAGGCTGTGGAGAAGGTCAGGCAGCCAAGGCAGAGCTGGCTTTGCCAGAATAAGAGAAATAATATTGTGTGGAGTAAAAATAATAATTATCAAGAAAGGTAATCAATAAGAAGAAACAGCATGACATAATCAGGAATGCCTAACAGATTCAAGAGTTTACTTGCCTGGTATTGCAATATTTTATTCTGAAATTATGCAAAAGAGGCTTTCTGAAATACAGCAGAGACAAATACCTACTGCAAAAGACAAGTAAGAAAGCTGTTTTAAGAAAAAAAAAATATATATCCTTTTATCAGTTTTTAGGTAAGTTGAACTTGCAGAAGGCCAAAAAACCAGTTCAGGATAGGCAGTATAGGTGGGATCAGAAGAGAGCTTTCAAGGTCCAAGTACCCACTAAACACAAACCCACTGAACATTCTTCATAAAGGTTTGCATTCTCTCCCTCTGCTTCCATGGTCTCCATGTTCTGATACAGCTGATCCAAGAGTCATCTATTCCCACTCATCTAACACATTATTAAGAAAGGAAAAAAACCAAAACCAAACCAAACACACACACACACCCCCCTCCATTTGTTTCTTTAAGTGCTTCCTAAAAACATTTTGCAAATCTTTTTTCATTTCTGCATCTCACGGGATGTTATGATATCAGATACAGTATTGTAAACCCTCAGATCATCTGACAGAACAGCAGAAGCAAAACTTTGAACCGAAATAAGACTGTCTCTTTTAAAAGTAATTTAAGAACCTCTTCCCCAAGCCTCACGTCTGTCAGATTAAACAGCTATTAAGAAAAATGTCATAATTTTAAAAATAATTAAAAATTTGTAATGGTCTAAACATTAATCATTGAAACTTAATTCCGATTTTTATCCTGCCAATAACTGTGTATATTTGTTTTCTTAAAACATACAATTACCACAGATGAGATAAATTGGGGTTTTTTTGCATATTTAAGTGTACCCCTGTGCACATCCTCCAAGTCTGGATACATACAGCAGAATCCCTACATGCCATGAGCTTTCTCATTTCAATAGACACAATCTAGAATACCCCAGCATTTTTTACTTTAAGTCTTTTCATTCTGGAAGTCATGGAAAAAGGTATCTGCTAGTTACCTGAAAATTTTCTAAGTACGGCATCGTCACTGAAACATACCAAGGACACAAAGTCAGACAACAAACACAACAGAAAACCCGATGTCCATTTCCCAAAAGGCTGCGTCATGTAGCATTCAGATACTGTGAACTGGAAGTATATTGTTGGAACTCATTAAAAAAAAAATCAGTTCTTGTTAGTATTACACTAGAGACTAAGCACTTCAAAAACTGAATATGCATAATGCTTAACTTTTGCCTATTTAACACCAAAATATCTCTCTAGGGTAGGTAATTACTAGGCTATTTAGGTAAGAATATAAACAAACTTCTCCCTTAAGTTCTAATAAAGCTCACTTAGAAGAGCGCTGTTTGAAAAACAAAACAAAAAAAAAAACAACACCCAGACCATTTCTCCTTAGGTTTTCTTTACATTAGAAAACAGCCTCTGGACTTGGGCGCATTTCACCACAGAAAACTGAGCATATTGGAAAAATATCCTCATAGCTCACCAAAGAACAGAACATAAAGCAGATTCTCCATCGAGCAACAAAGCAGCTACACAAAACAAAGAGCAATAAGAAGCAGTAACAACACACTATGCTCCTATCAAGAGGCTAACACAGGCTTACTGATCCTGAAGTCCCAAGAATATTTTGCTTAGATATAGCACCATTTATTCGTGCATCTCTGTCAAGGCACAGCACTACAGTTTTAGCATACTCTGAGGTTTCCAAATTGGGATTTTGAGCAGTCAATCTTCTTCACACCATATTTTGAGGTAGATTTAAAAAGGTTAAAAGCATTCAGTTTGTTTTTCCTTTCTCCTTTGCTTGTACTATTTGTTCTCCTCGTATCTTTCAGTTGGAGCAGTTCTCTCTCCCTAAGGAGATCACAGCTTTACCAAACTACAATGTTAGATTGTGTCTCTA